CAAATAAAATCAGTAATATAGATGAGAAATATTCATTTTATATATAGTTTACCAATACAAACTTATATATTGTTCATATATGGACATCTGGAGAAGCTTAAGAATGAAATAACTGGTAGGAATGCAGCGCATAATATTCAGAAAAGACATAAGAAAGAATTTTCAAATTGGTTTAGAATTGATGTAAGTGCTTTACGATTAAATTTTGAACACATAATATAACTTGTTCTAAACATTCTCATATTGTTTGGCTTAGGTTGAAAAATCATTTCTTGATGGTACTACATTATCAGATGAAATTATTATTCATGCACAACATCCTTATCACGAAGTAAGACGTTATAATGAGCATATGGTCAATGAATATAAATTTTGAATGTTAGAGACCGATGATAGGAGGGTTACCTAGAATAGTGGGGTCATGGGTTGTTTTGCTCAAGAATGTTTTCAAGTATAAAAGATCAGAACCTAATTCTAGGCAACATTTTATATTACAGCTAATTAGAAGATATTGTTGAGGTAATTTACAGATTTGGTAAACCAAAATAATGTAGTTACATGATGTTTAAGGTTCGGTGGTGTCTTGAAAAAAATGCAAAAGGATCATTGTGGGTTTACACTTGTCAATCTCCATCGAGAAATATATATGGATGAGAAATTCATTTTCACAGAACAAGCTGATCAGTGCTTATTTGTAAAAGATCCGAATATCATGTCTGATTGGGTGGTTTTGTACAAGGAGCCAAGATGTGTTGTTCTTCCTAATAATAATGAAAAAAAATGATGAAGAAAGTGAAGATAATTATAGTGAACCATTTGGGTTATCTGATGACGTTTGGCAAGAGTTATCTTGCACGTAGAATATGGTGCTTGATGTAGGTATAAACTATGTTATATTGCATTACCGATTGTCAAAATTTCATAATAAAATCAATTATGTTTTTCATAATAATATATCTCACGAGCATGTATATATTTTTTCTTAACTATATTAAAAATTGAATTTGTAGATGCGGAATGCGAGGAGGCTCTTTATTGGGGACCGTGATCGATCACGAAGTATCACCCCGGGTACTGGTACTGAGGAGACACCACCATCTCCGGTTGTAGGTATAAATTATTTAATATTTTAATATCTTTTATAAATTATTAGTTATCTAGCTCATAGTATCCTTTTGTTGTGATGCGGGTTATTCAACACCCGACCCCTCTAATGCAGCACCGGAATCATCCCCCGACATTAGTATTTAGTATTGAATATGTCAATTTAAAATTTATATTAATGATTCTCTTTTGTTATGTAGATAATTCATGGACACCCTCATTTCCTTCATATACATTCCAGGCTGACTTGAGTCTGAAGACGTAAGACTATCACAGTTTACCCTTCCCTCCGGACTCTCATAAGTCTAGGGCTGAATCAATAAGGTATCACCCACGTGTTGCGAGAAGATTAGAGGAGATGATGCCTACGTTGGAGGCTAGGAAAGTTGTTGCACTCGCCGTCAAAGAAAGGGAGAAAGCGAATGGTAAATTTTATAAATGCTTTTAATTTTCACATTTATATATTATATGATATATTATCATATTGTTATTATTATAGGTGCTAAGCCAGATTGCATAGAGGGATAACGTGGCGGGAGTAAACTTGAGTCTAAAACAACCGGCAAGAGGCATGAGGGCCATTATTCGATGGAATAATGATGCATTGTCTGTTGGTACTTGGTCGTCCAGATTGAATTCGTATATCGGGATTCTCGTGCGTAGAGAGAACATCATCAATCTTTATTTTAATTTTCGAGAACTACCATGGACCACCTACGAGGAGATATGAAATGAGCTTATGATAACTTTATATTACTTTAGCTTTTCATTTATTAATAATTATTAATTGATATTAAATTATCCTAACTGAATATGTATGCAAATCTATAAGAAAGTTTCTGCCTTGAGGACGTTGAGGGGGCTTGACATTATGTTTTTAATGTCAATGTTGAAGTTGTCGTCAAACAATGGAGGTATTAGATTAAGCACGAAACATATGATATGTATTCAGAGGACTGGTAGAGGCTTTTAAACCTTGTTGATAAAGTTGACGAGCTTCATTTCACAGCTCTCCTCATGTATTGGGACACCATTGCCGCCAGGTTAGTTTCATGAAAACTACACTAAAACCTTGAGATATTCTTTCATTGCATATTTACTAAAATATATTTTTTAAAGAATAAATCAATGAAGGGATCACTGAATAGAAAGAAGAAGATGCATGACCACCACTTGGGCACACACTCCTATGCCAACCAGGAGGATGGTTATTATCGGGATACAATATATGTCATTTAAAGCTTTAAATGATCTTAATGCTTAGTATGACTACGAAATCTCATCAATTTATAATATGATAGGGAAAATCAATATACCGATAAACTTGAAGGCAAAGTTGGCATATGGTACTTTCCGTGATCGATATAGGGATGAGGACAAAAATCGGGATAAGATCAAGGCAAATCTCAAGTTGGTGGTGAGACTTATATATAACTTAATTAGTATTATTAACTCTATCTCATTCTTAATTTTACGAAAAAATGAGAACACGAATAATATGGTCTTTACAGAGGAATATATGACATGTGTATAATCTAACACATTGACCTAGCAGTAAGCAAATTTGCAAGTAAGTTAATTTGGTATTTACCTTGAATAATTATTAAAATGAAGCTGTAACCAATTTGATATTTGTAAACTTATATTTGTGCATTAGGAGGGTTTTGAAACTGCAACCAAGGAGGATTCAACACCGTACATGTCGCAGGAGGAAGTACAAGGTGAGCCGGACCCTCACATGCTTTCTCCAGAGGATAACATCACTCTCACTCAGAACCTAGTGGGACATAATAGGTAGGGATGATAAAAAATCGAATCAATTCGAATACTACGTTCTTATTTATATTTATTTAACATTATTGACTTTGAGAGCAAAATCTAATATTTATTTCTCCCTAATAATAGGAGAGGAAGATATCTTCTGTATGGTGTTGGAGCATCACCAGACATAAGCATGAGATCATCCACAGCATCCTCCATATCATCTACAACAATGAGAGCAACCCTAGGCAGTTTTAGGCTATACCATGTGTCCTATGTGTCTCTGCGTATTTGTCCGACAAGATTGACCGAGAGCTACATGTTCAGGTAATTAGGGAGATGAGTAGAGTTGCGAGGAGGGCCCACTCGATGGACGATGTCATGTATTACGTTGTAGATTATTTGGCCGACGTGATTCCCTCTAGTATGTTTGGTGGTATCATACGGCTCATAAGCTCGGGTGTCGATAATTCGGGCGTTGGGCAGAGCAACGCTCAGATATCTTATTTTTCATTTTATTTATAAAATCATTTATGTTTAATACGTTATCAAACACCACATAATTCTAAAATATTTTGTTTAATATGTTTAATAACACAGATCAGCGTACTAGTATATTTAATAAATGCTCTATGTTTAATATGTTATCAAACTTTACATACCTCTAAATTATTATTCAATTGGACCTTCAGACTGGAGATATTGGAGGAAGCAGCACCCATCCTTGTATGAGAGATAGAGATGCTGCCAACGACAACGAGATGTGAGTTTTTTTTTTTAATTTTTAATGCAATGAATATATTTTTATTTGTTATAGCACTCTACGTTTATTCATGTCGTGTACTTTATCTTATTCATCTCGTGTTATGGGTTAACTTGGTATTGCTAGTGTATATATTGTAAATATTTAGATAATTTAAGTTTTTACTGAAGTGGAGATTGGCACAGATTGTTGGATGTATTTATTAGACAAACTTATTGGATGTATTTATTAGACAAACTTATTGGATGTATTTATTAGACAAAATTGTTGGATGTATATTTTGGATTGGATGGTTGGATCTGTATATTGAAGATGATATTTGATTATATTTAAATTGTTGGATGTATATTTTGGATTGGATGGTTGGATCTGTATATTGAAGATGATATTTGATTATATTTGGTTATGGATGGACTTGTTTTGGATTGGATGGTTGGATCTGTATATTGAAGATGATATTTGATTATATTTGGTTATGGATGGACTTGATAAGAATTTTGATTATATTTGGCTAGATGCATTCATGTGTATATCGTAATTGTAATTAAATGTACATGGAATTGATATTTAAAACTATTTTTTTTTGCTAAGAAAAAAACAACCTAGACAGAATTTTCATCTAGGTTGCACTAACCTAGACGGAATTCCGTCTAGGTTACAACCTAGAAGGGTTTTTGGCTAGGAACACAACCTAGATGGAGTTCCTAGACGAAATTCTGTTTAGGTTGCAACCTAGACGGAATTCTGTCTAGGTTAGCGCAACCTAGATGTAAATTACGTCTAGGAACACAACCTAGATGGAGTTCCTAGACGGAATTCTGTCTAGGTTGCAACCTAGATAGAATTTCGTCTAGGAACAGAACCTAGACGGATTTTCATCTAGGTTAGCAACCTACACAGAGTTCCGTCTAGGTTGCAACCTGGATGATTTTTCACATTCTGACTATATTACTTTCTGTCTAGTTTGACCTATCTAGACGCAATTCTGTCTAGTTTGAGTCAAACTAGATGGAGTTATTCTAGATGGACTTTCCTAGACGGAATGGCGTCTAGATAGGTCAAATTTGATAGAATCGTAAGCACCCTAGACGGAAAATTCCTTCTAGGTTGCTCGTTTTTCTACTAGTGGAAAAAACCCTAGATCTCTTCATTGTCTCTCCGCAATGCAGAGGATGTAATTCTCCACATTCTAACAATTGAGCCATCCTAAATGGCTATTACTCAAATCAATGCATGTGTTTTTCCTTTTTTAATAAACTTTTTTGTGTGCATGCCCTTTTTTCCCTTTTTTTTTGTTTTTTTGGAGATAAACGTGTGCATGTGGTTTTGTTTTAATATTCCTTTTTTATGGAAAATTAAGAGATTTTATAAATTAAGAAACTACACTACTACAATCAGCAAGAAGAAGATGCACAATATCATCATGTGCTTCTTCCATCCATACAAATATATTAGAGAAATCTAAAGCTTTTTTAGCCAAGACGTGATCAATTTTGTTACAACTCCTAAGTACGTGTTGAACCTCAAAGTGTTGTAATCTCTGACCCAATCTTTTAATGTCTGCACAAATTCTCCCGAGCTCTAATAACTCTCTATCTGAGTACTTAATTACATTAATCACCACTGAACAATCCATTTCAAGTACCACCTTTGAAAGTCCAATATCAAGAGTAAAAACTAGTGCATCCCTTGCAGCGAGAACCTCACATACTACAACCTCAACTGCTCTTGTATTGCCTTTTAAAAAACCGGCCATGAAACAACCATTCACATCCCTCAATACACATCCCAAGCCTCCAATACATTTGTACTCTCTCCATGATCCATTCACATTAATTTTGTACAAACCAACAGGAGGAGGAGACCATCTTGGATTTATTGTCAAGACATGAACATAGCCTTTAGCTTCAATATTTGTTATAAAAGACTCTACGTATATCTTAGCATCTCTCATAATTCTTGACTCGTTCATTCTATTCTTCCCCATAATGCCTTGGTTTCTATCATTCCATATCATCTATACGGCTACACAAAAGCATCCCAAGTTCTCTAGTCTCATTGCTTCCATCACCGATTGCATCCAATCCAAAAATCGAGATTGCCTTTCATAGCCATGACAAATCGGTCTCCAACCAAGCATTTCTTGCTACTTTGCACGAGAACAATGCATGATATTGATCTTCCCCAACCTTATCACAAGCTACACAATGCAGAGCTATCGACATTCCACGAGCAATTAGATTATGCTTTACTGGTAAAAAATTACAACTTAATCTCCATATAAATACTTTTATTTTGTTTGGTATCTTTAGAGACCAAATTCTCTTCCAATAGACAACTTAATCTCCATATAAATACTTTTATTTTGTTTGGTATCTTTAGAGACCAAATTCTCTTCCAATAGATCAAATCTCTAGAGCTCGATGATTCCTATTTTGTTTGGTATCTTTAGAGACCAAATTCTCTTCCAATAGATCAAATCTCTAGAGCTCGATGATTCCATATAAGAGTTATCACCCAAATGATTTTGCACATAAACTACTAATTTATAAGCACTCTTAACAGTGAACGAGCCACATTTATCATAATGCCACAAAAAGGAATCTTGAGTTATAGTAATACTCAAAGGAATTAATGAAATGGTCTGGACTTCATGGTTAAAGAAGAATTTTTGAAGCAAGTCCAACTGCCAGCATCTATTTTCTTGATCAATCAATTCTTTTACCAGCATAGGTCTTTCGGCAATGTAGCAATAAGGGACATGCTTAAAAAACCAAGGCACTGGAATCCATGGATCCTCCCAAATATGCATAGTGCTTCCTTCCCCAATACGCCAACGAATCCCCTTAAATAAAAGCTCCCTTCCGGCTATAATACTTCTCCAAAGGTAGGATGGATTATTGCCAATCTCAGCATCTAAAAAATCCCCATGCTGAAAATGTCTATCCTTCATAACTTGGTAGACAATGGATGACTGATTAGTGATAAGTCTCCAGCCTTGCTTTGCAAGTAATGACATATTAAAGGATTTTATGTCTCGAAATCCCATTCCACCTCGCCCTTTGGAATGCACAAATTTTTTTCATCTACACCAGTGGATCTTCCTTCCATTCGCCCCACCACCCTAACAAAATTTTTGCCATAAGCGAATTTAGGGCCTTGCACAGGGAAGAAGGCATAAGAAATATACTCATTAAATGAGTCGGGATTGATTTTGTCACTGCATTGATAAGAATTTCTTTGCCCGCCTTAGACAATAATTTCTCTCTCTAACCCTGCAATTTCTTCCAAACTCTGTCAACAATAAAAGCAAATGCACTTTTCTTGCTTCTACCAATCTTTGTAGGCAAACCAAGACAATTTTCATGTTCATCCACCTCAATAACACCGAGAGTGTTTTTTATATGTTGTCTGGCATCATGATTAGTATTCAGACTAAAAGAAATGACTGACTTACTAAAGTTGATAGTTTGACTCGGACATCTTTCATACTCCACTAATATACTCGAGATAGCTGCTGCATTAAGGTGATCAACCGTGGTGAATACAAGGCTGTCATCTGCAAAAAATAAATGATGAATGCTTGGACCTCCCCTGCTAGCTTTGACTCTTAAACCATTTTACTCCGCATCAAATAATAACTGAAAGTACCCTAGAATGTGGGTGAATAGGGTAATTGCTAATCTAATCCGATTTACGATGCCAAATTTAAAACTTATAATGCAATATCCTAGCAATTATGATATATAATGAGATATGCAAGGATAAACAAGAGACAATAGGCAATATAAACAACGAGCACAAGATATGAAGAGAAATAGTGCGAAAAAGACAATCACAAACAAACGATATGATCACAAAGTTCGGTTAACCCTCGACCTAGGTCTCCGCTCCTCACTTCGAGGAGAACTCCACTATAACTCAAAATAACTACACAATACGATTACCAAATATCACTAAAAACTTTTATAATATACACGTTGTCAATCACATAAGCCACACTCCTCAAGTGTTGGACTACCCGTGTTATCTTCCTCAAGTGTTTGGATTTACAACATCTCCCTAGGCTTTACTACCAACCCACTTCTCTTAAAATTAATCTCAGTCTCTCTCCAACCACTCCTTTAAGTGTTCGTGTGTATTACAACTTGTTTTAATAATGAGTACAAATAAAGGATTTGTTCTCCAATACAAATGAGAATAAAATATAAGCTCACTCAATGATTCAACCTCACAACCCAAATTTACTAAATGGGGAATACTTAAACTCAAGTGGTTGTGTGTGAAAACAATGAGTAAAACCAAATTTAAACTCAAATAATTTTAGCTTGTATATGAGAATTAAAATATAAATTAGCTAGAAGAAAAGAGTTTAGAAAACTTCTTCAAAACAAAGAGAGATATAGATTTTAGGATGAATGCCTCAACAACAAAATTGAGAGCCTTCTCTTTATGAAACTCTTATCATATAAACAAACACACTTAAACTTCACAAAAACTTAGACCAAAGTGGCCAAAACAATCTTGTAAAACTCTTGATGAAAAATAAGTCTTGAGAGCTATTTATAGCCTCTCAAACAAATCTGCCAAAAACTAGCTGTTACAGTGAAAAGTGCAGATCAGTCGACTAGTTGGTTTTATCAATCGACTGATCAACTAGCCATTACAGAAAAGAAAACAGACAGTCATGACTCGGTCGACTGAAAAGAAAAACCAATCGATTGAAAACGCTGTGTTCGGTCGACTGACTCAAATGGTCGGTCGACGGATAGATTATAAAAATAAATGCTAAAAAACTCATTCTGGCAAGTAAACTAAGAAACAAAATTGGTCGACTGAAAGCTATCAGTCAACTGATTAAGGCAGCCAGTCGACTGAAAACTGATACACAGAATTTTGACTTTTGAAGAGCTGATTTCTAAATTCAATTTAAAATAGTGAAACAACTCCAAAAATAGTAAAGCTTGGAGAAACGTTTATAAATATCAAAATAAACATGTTAGAGAAGAAATTTTTTAAATTGCACTTCGCATTTGTGAAAACTCACTATTTTGTAAAATGATATGAAAATGTTAAATATGATTTAACAGAATCAAAAATATGAAGTCATTCAATACTTGATTCTGATGACATCATTTCAAACAAGTTTTGAAATGGATTTATAGACTTTTGAAAAGATGTAAAACAGTATCATTAAGTCTATAATCCAAAACACGTTATTTTCCCAAAAAGACGATAAATAAGAAACTAGTGTGTATGTATATAAATATAGCTATTAGTTTCAAAGTTATTTGGCTAAACTTGAAAGTGATAAAACAAAATGTGTATGTGTGTGGTTTGAGCTTTAAGTATAAACACAAAAAATAAAAACCTAAACTACTATATCCAAACAAATGATCTTCATTAATCTCGATCTTGGTAGCGGATGAAGCGATAATGTATCTTGACTTGAATTGCGACGTCTTCATTCCAATTTCCTTCCAACCTCCTTGAATATCATCGTTAGCGTTCAATTCCAACCAACCTCCAACAGAGGATGTTTGTGTAGGATACCTAACAAGAAAATGCAAATACTTGAAAAGCGATGTTAGGAATTGTTTGTTAATCATCAAAACCAGATTAGACAATAGGCACATAAACATGAGACATAACAATTTCACCCTTTTTGATAATGACGAATAATCTACACAATGAGTATAGGAAACATGCATGATACCAAATGAATATACAATTTATAATCTCTATGCATGATACCAATAGTAAGCAAAGAAACAGGATACTCACAATACACTTGTTTCTCCTCCTTTGTCAACATCAAAATAGGGAAAATAATAAGAAGAAAGAGAGCGAAAGCCCCCTACATATAAGCACGATGAGTATAAACAAAATAGGAAAAGGCTCCCCTTATCAATAAGCCACATAACATATATCAAATGAAATATTTAATTTAAACACACACACACACACACACACACACACACACACACACACACACACACACACACACACACACACACACACACACACACACACACACACACACACACACACACACACACACACACACACACACACACACACACACACACACACACACACACACACACACACACACACACACACACACACACACACACACACACACACACACACACACACACACAAATATATATATATATATATATATATATATATATATATATATATATATATAATGAAAGGTGTTATAAAAGTCTCAAACATAGATATATCAATAAGATATATATAAAAACAGACTAAAAATAAACCTTAAAAACAATAGTACAAATAAAACTCCACTAGTAACAAAGACGAGGATCCAAATGAAAGAAAATCATAAAAAATTATGAATCCATGAAAGCCAGATGAAAAGATTTATGAAAGTCAAATGAAGGTCAACAATCAAATGAAATAATAAATCGGTCGACTTAATGTATCAGAAACCGGTCGATTGAACATGAAACATCAGTCGACTGGATATTGAAAGCAAGCGACTGGCTAGAGAGATTTACGACTATCTGGCTTTGATCAGTCCCATCAGTCGACTAGTTCAAAGCTTCGGTCAACTTATGACATCAAAAGTTCATAAACATTCAAATATAAATCATGATTGATAAATAATTTAAAACATAATAACATCAAAACATGTCTGATCATAAAATATCCCTAATCATAAAACATCAATTTTGAAGAATATGAATAAGTGATCAAGCAAACATGAATCAATGGATGCACAAGTCAAATTCACCTCTTATACAATAAATTTTTTTTTCGCAAAGAGACTTGGTAAAGATGTTCGCTAATTAAGATATTGTATCAATATAAACAAGGACACATCTTCCAAATATACATGATCACGCCAAAAAGTAATGTCGAACATCCATGAAATACTAATTTTTTGAAATATTCGTAGTACTAGTATTATCACAAAAATTTTTGTATCGTGGAATTCAAAAACAATCAAATTTTGTTTCACTAAATTTGAAATAATTTGAAATT